ATGAAGTCTTGATTGGATGGCGAGTTGATAATTGTGGTGTTCTAGTTATATTATATTCTTCAATTCTTTGGTACGTAAATCTTGTCAGGTTTATTTACCATTAAATACGAATATTTTTATTATTTATTTCGCTTAATTAAAAAAAAAAAGATTTGGGGGGGTTAATTTTTGAGCTAAGGAAGGACAGACTGAGAATAAATTGATGTTGAGAAAGCAGAAGTTTTCAAGGAGGATTTATTATATTTTTATATTTATATTGTATTATTTTATTATATTTATTTATTATATTTCATTATATTTATTATATTTTGTGGATATTTTTGGTATTGACTGCCTTGGCATCCTCAGATAAGGTTGTTTTTGTTGTGATTTTATTGCGAATTGAATTAATCTGAATTAATCTTGATTTGTCTATTTTTAATCTTTATTTTCATTTTTTTTTTTTTAGTGTGGGTATATACGTGTTGTTTTAAATGCACATAATCTGCCCCAAGGTAATTTTTTTTTGTATGAGAGCACAATTCCTATCGTTGAGTGCGTCAGAAGGGATCCAGCATTCATTTCCTGTGCAAAGCTTGGGTTTTCTTAGTAGGACACACCCCTTTTATATCCCATGGAAAATTTGGGTTTTAGATAGAGTAGGGGGGGGGGGGAAACAAAATTTTATGATCATGTTTGATTTCGGTTTCATGTAGAATAGAAATGTAAATGATTTGATTTTCTTATAGTTTGTTCGCCCATATGGTCCACCCTGTGCATAGTAGTTGCAGTGGTTGCCTTTGCTCCACACGGGGCTATAGCATGTAGGAAGTTGGTATATTCTGGCAAGATAGAGCTCTGACTGGTTACTTTTTAGATTGGAAACCTGGGTGTAACGTTGATGTATATTCGACATCATTGGTGCATATCCTGTGCTGAAAGGAATACAGCAATCACATATATCACATATATCACATATAACTCCCTGAAGGGTAAAAGTATGTTTCATGCACTTCTAATTTTTCACTGAAGCATCTAACCGTATGTGAAGCCAATGCATGGCTTGTCGTTGATGGGTTAGAACAGAAGTGCAGCAGTTTAGTGTTAATCTGTGAAGTTTGATTAGTGAAAGCCAAGGTGCATTTCATGCACTTAGGCATGAAGATCTCTGGCATGGGGTTAGCTTTCCTGTCAGTGTGGCGGCGTGGATTTAGCCTAAATTATATTCCTTGGCATATTGGCATTATGAAATGGAAAAATCTTGACGCATGCTTTTTTATCTTTACTGTTTTTACAAGCTTTTAAGTTGAACGCAATGCACTTATGCATATTCGTTTGTTTTATTAATTTACAACGCATGCCCCCCCCCCCCACACACACACTCCTTGCGGCTGTTTTTTATCACTTCCATAGTTTTCAAAAGTGCTGTTGTGTCTTGAATTTTTTGAGACAATGTGATTGCAATGTCATATACATGGGTATAATGTAAAGCGAACTGAACCAGAACCTTTTTTTCTAGTTCAGGATTACAGCTCTATTCACACAGCAAATGAGGTGAAGGTGCGGTTTCAGCAGCACCGTAAGATTGTTGTGTTGCTAAATCTGCCTAAATAGCCAGATTTAAATCCCATCAGACATATTTAGGCAGCTACAGTCAGGCACATGACCAGAGAAAGAACTAGTGGCTGAAAGGGAAAGAACTTGGAGTCTGTTTTAGTGGCAGGGGGAGGGGATACAAATCATTGAAATTATAAACTTGTATTAATTTCCTTTTAATCAACACAGTCTAAAATTAAAGAACAAATATATATGATTATAGAGAAATTCGAGCTAACAGTTTCACTTCATTATAAGTCCCAGAGGGTTAGAAATAAATATTGAAAATAACATTGAAAGACATGACCACTCATTTGTCATACAGTGACATCTGATGGTTTAGATAAAGACGAAATGGTAAATACCAGATTTTGACTTTCCCTTATGTAAAAACTGCTTAATTTTGAGATGGGCACTGTGTAAAAAAAATATTTTGAGATGTTTTGAATATTTTTATAGTGGTTTCATACTAGTAGTCAGTGATAGATTACCCCAGAGGTTTACTAAAACTTTCTTGCCACAATATTCATGAGGAGGTTTGTTGGCCATTACCGAAGTACCAGTAGGCATGGGGAACACATGTAGGTGGACAGTAGTCATATAGGTGCGTCAGTAAAATTGAAAATGCATTCTGTGTTCCCTACATTTCAGATTTTTTTTTTTTTTTTTTTTTTTTTTTTTTTTTTTTTTTAAGTTGATTAGAAACAAAGTGTACAGTAAAACTAGATAATACTAGTTAATAGACAAGTGTAAACAATAATACCAAATGATTTATAGATTTGGTAACAATAAGGAACACTTGATAATATATAGGTTAGAGTAGGCCATATAGATTTGTTTTTATGTAATTGTATTATTTGAAATTATATTACAGTCCTTGAAAATGAACTCAGTTGCCGTAGGTAATATTCATATACATATCAACTTCTTTTTCTTATTCCTTGAAAATACTATTTACTGAACAAAATTCATAATGATGATTTTAAATATTTTTCTCCCGACAGAGAAGACGTGGCAGCCATGGCTCTGTCATCGGAGTTTGTGTCGCTGGTCCAGCAGGAGATTCCGGAGGGACGGCAGTCGCTCTCGGACTCTCATGCCAACTTGGAGAAAGTGGCTTCGTACTGCATAGAGAACTTTGCGAGGGTAAAGCATCTGAGTGGCATTTTATTTTTGGGAAATGATGTATTAAGTGTGATTCATTTTTATATTACTATATGTTTCATTTGCTGTGTTTGTAGGTATATATATATATTTATTACTTTTTTTTCCTGCTCTGCAAGTACATCTTTTGTATATTTTTAAAAATGAGTTGAGGGAAATCATATGCTAATAGACAGTGTTGCACAACAGGCCGAGAACAAAGCCCAAGCACTGGAGGAAACCAAGAATTACACGACGCAGTCCCTCGCTAGCGTGGCTTACCAGATTAACACTCTAGCATACAACTTCTTGCAAATGATTGATCAACAAGCACACCAACTGGCAGAAATGGAGAGTCAGGTTAATTACATATCTCAGGTACGTCAAGTGTGCAATTTTCTGAGGGCACTGTTCTTTTTTCTCTCTTTCTGTTTTTGTGAAGGAAAAGGAGTGTGTAAATGATTTATTTAGAATTTCTGATAGCATTGTATGGCATAAAATATCATTAATAAGAATAAGAATGTTAGTTTACAGAAGGAATTTTGTCAATTTTCAGTGCATACTTGTTCCAAATTCATCAGTTTCGTATTTTAGATAAGAAATATTGGTTGTGAAACTGTTATATTTGTAATTAGATAGGAAGAGTTCAGGATAAAAGTATAACTAAAATTAACTGATGTATATTTTCCAAGAGACATAATGAATATACAGAATTTGCCAAAACAAAGAAGTCAAAGATTTTACATTCTTCTTAACTTTTTTTTTTTTTTTTTTTTTTTTTTTCTATTGAACCTTTGACCACTAATGTCAATCATAACTTCTTATTCTTCCAGATGGTAATGGTTCACAAAGAGAAAGTGGCCAGGAGGGAGATCGGTGTCCTCACAACCAACAAGACGACTGCCAGGCAATACAAGATACTTGCACCAGCCAACACGGAGAAACCAATCAAATACGTGAGGAAGCCCATCGACTTTGGATGTGAGTTTCGACTTGGTTTGATTTGATTCGATGAGCTATGTGAATATTTTTTTGATTTAACCACTAATATCTGAGGCAATTGTGTTGCGTATATCTGTAAATCACACCTTAAGATTACCTCAGTAGTAGAGAATCACCTGTAGGAATTTGGCAGCAATATCCAGTGGTGTCTTTCAATTTTTGCACCTTGTCAGGCACCCATAATGACCTGACATGCACAGACATCAATTATCTATTACAAGGTAATGACTTACCAAGGCATCTGTTAGCTAATTGTCATCTCTGTACATATATATGTTGTATAACAAAAATGAATGGAATATGCATTTATACACGTGCATGATTGATTAAGTATATGCTACTAAGCTCACTTATGGGAAGCATGCATACCATCTGTGAATAGTGGGTTAACAGTTCATATCCACCTAAATTCAGGTAACACAAACAATTGAGTTATATTTTTCTTGTAATCTGCAAATCAGAATTTATATTATGAGACTTCATAACGTCATGATCATTTACTGGCACCCTGTGGGAATTTTGAACAGGTTGCCCTGTGTCCTCATCTGAGCATTTCTGTACACAGGATGCACATCTCTTAGGGGGTAATATATTTTGTCATATTTTTTTCACAGAACATATCTAATGAATAAGTGCTCTCCTCCATAGGCTTAGATGACGTAGGGCATGGCATGCGCTCGTCATCCAGCAGTACCCCACGGTCCAGACGCTCGGCCAGCAGTGTGGGCATGCCCCCTCCAGTCCACCAACCCCCCACTTCTGCCGGCCCTGCCCCTACCACGAAGCCCCCAACCCCTCCCCAGGCCAACAGGTCTGTGAGCAGCCTCTCAAGGGGCTCACGGGAATACCGCACTCCTCCGGCTGTGGCGCCTCCTCAGGTCGGTGTCCTTGATTTCAGAGCTTTTGGTGGTGTTCAGAATTTCAGAATTTTTCTGAGGTATAGGTGAAATATATTGTTTTGTGGCCTTCACTTTTATTCAAGAGAGCACCATGTATTTCTTTGTCTATTGTTGCTTTTTGTGCAGTGGTTATGTATAGGATGGAGTATGAGTTTCTGTTCATATTTTATCATCATTTTCAAGGTAGATGTAAGTATTATAAAAGCTGACTAGTCTATCTAGCATTTTAGGAACGAGTAAATCCAAACACCAGCTATATCCAAATCTAAATACCTGCAGGTACCCAGCAACTACGCTCCCAACTACCCCATTGGCCACCCACGACGTAACGACCGCTCGAGTGGCTACAGCACCTTGCCGCACCAGTCAGCTGCCCATGTA